AATAAAATTATCTAATATAATATTTATTTTTTTATTTAAGTTTGTGTAAAAATCATCACATTTTTTAACCGCCTTTTTTATACGATGACGACGAACCCATTTGAGATTTTATTCAGCCAGTTGACAATTAACTCTTCTTTTCGGAATGGTGCAGACGTTGAAGAAACTATTAATGAACTTGTTAATGGTAGTATTCGAATCGAAGATTTCCCACATATTCAAGTCTGCATTATCGATGATATGATCTTCTCTTCAGATAATCGTCGGCTTTATGTATTCCAAGAAGCAATTCGAAGAGGATTAAAAGTTGATAAAATTCCAGTTCGAGTTCGACGATCGACAGATTTGAATATTAAATGGAAAATGGAAGGTTTATATAAAATTGTTCAAAATGATAATTTTAAAGATATAATAGTGAGCCAATATGCAAGAAATGGAAGAGTTATAGATAAAGAGGGGTTCTGGGATTTCAGTTCTAATTATTACATGTAAATAAATTTGTAAATAAATAAAATAATTTTAACAATAAAAATATTTCAGAAGTTTTGAAGAACAATCTGTTGTAGAACAAACTGTTTTTTTTAAAATATATAAAATGTTCTTGTTGTTATTCTTGTGAATTTCTTAGTCTAGAAAATCTTTTAACCTGCTAATAAATTGTAGTAAGATTGAGAAATAACTTGTTTAAGTTACTCTTGAAAAAATCAAGAATTCATTTTCAAATATTTAATAAAAGTTAAGATTGCCATAATTCTGACAAAATTAAAAACAATTGATTTCTAATTGTTTAAAAATAGCCTAATATTTACTTAATAATGGATTATTGAATAACCCATTATTTATCGACGTTTCTTCGGAGTCACCGATTTTTGAGACAAAATCAAATTTGTCAGCTTCGAAGAAGCTAATTTGTTCAAAGTTGTTTGTGTGATGTTTCTCATCACGAATGTTCTTTCTCGTTCAATTCGTTTTCAATAAATTTCTTCGATCAAATTCTTATTTTTTTAAGATATGCCTTGATTGTGGTTTGAGAAAGGTATAAAATCTTCTCCAGTAATTTGAAAATGTAACAAAGTTTGTAACGTTTCTCGAAAGACGATTGGCTTGTCGGTTGAGGAAGACAGAAATTTTTCTCGTTAAATATGTAAGCAGTTTTCAAGAAGAAGTACCGTTTTATTTTCGTTTAATATATAAAATGTTCTGGAAAAGTTCTTATTAACGAATTCCAAAACCAAAAAGAATATAATGCAATAATTAAAGTTGTAGTTACTAAATAAATAATAACTACAAAGACCCAAAAAAAAGTTTTTGATGAAAGAATTTTGTTGAAAATCTGGTAGATATCAAAATGGTATTCGCCTTCGAAAAGGTTTGTAAGAAACAAACCAAAGATTACACAGAAAAAAAAAAAGATTACAAAGATTTTTGGAAACATTTTTAAAAATATTGTTTGTAAATTTTACTTTTATGAAATATTTGATTGATTAAACATTCGCAACGAAGAAAAAATGGATCGCTTTTATTTCTTTTTGAACAATATATTTTTAAAAATTGATCTAAATTTCTTTCTAGTTTATAACCTATATTAAACTTTCTCAAAAAGATAAGAGAACTTTCTCACAGATAAAGATTGCCTTGGTGGATTGATTAAAACTTGAACTGAGATTATATGAGATTGCCTTTTTGAGAATTGTATGAGATTGCCTTTTGTGGATTGATTAAAGAACTTTCCTTTATACTAGTTGATATTGCCTTTTGTGGTGTAATTAAAAGAACTTCACGCAGCAGATAAGATGTATGAGATTGCCTTTTATGGTTAATTTGTTTATTAAAAAAAAAAATACGCAGTTGCCAAGAAATTCTTTTAAAGTTTAATTTGTTAGAACATTAGAATAAAAGAAGTTTCTTCTTTAAAATATAAAAACAATCGATTTCTTACTTTGTACATATAAATAAATCTGCATAAAAAAATAATTGAAAACAATGAATTCCTCAGAAAATATTGTTCAACAATTCGAAAATTTAAACGAGTAAATATAACTTTAATTTTACAATTAATTTATATTTTATATTAATGTTTTTTTTAAAATAGTATATCTATTGCGGGAGTTTTAAGCTTTCTTGAAGATAAAAAAAATAGTAATGTTCAAGGTTTTCAAAATACTTCTTTCTTGTTGAAAGTGGAAAAATTTGAAGACCAAGATATACAAGCTAGAATGTTTTTCCTTGATGGCGATCCTGTAGAAGAACTTTTTTCTATTCCTGATGAAATTGAAGTTAAAGAAATTAATGAAACTAAAAACAGAAAAATCGATGTTTTTTTTAGAAGTAATTATTTTATGATCAATCATCCTAAAAAATACGAAGTTTATTACAAAGAAAAAAAAATTTATTCATTGGTTCCTGAACAAAAAAGATATACTGTTCTTAATTATGATAAACCGATAATGTTAAAATATATGAACTAGAAAAGCGATTGAAACAATTATTAAATCAGAATAGTTATGTAATCTTATTAAATTTAGTTAAAATAAATAAATAAACCAATAACATTTTTTTTTAAAAATAAAAATTTATTGAGTGAAACGTTTCAAAATTTGTATAAGATTGCCTTTTGTGGATTGATTAAAACAATTTTCTTACCAGATAAAGATTTGTATGAGATTGACTTTTGTGAATTGATTAAAAGAACTCCTTGTGGCAGATAAAATTTGTATGAAATTGCCTTTTGTGGATTAATTAAAAGAACTCCTTGTGGCAGATAAAATTTGTATGAGATTGCCTTTTATGGATTGATTAAAAGAATTTCTCAATAGAACTTTCTCGCGGCAGAAAGGTTGCCTTTTGTAGATTGATAAAGAACTTTCTCATGTAAATAAAAGATTGTATGAAATTGGATTGATTTGGTTTAAATTGTTCGCAAAAATCAAATACAAATAAAAAAATGATTAAATTTTTAATTGGTTCGTTTAAATTCGTTTTATATTCATTTCTTTTTGTAACTCGTCTAAACTTTAAATTTCTTTAGACTTGCATCTGAAAATTACTATGTGGAACATGTGACTCAATGAAATATTACGTAACTTTTATGCTCTTTATCAGAACTTTAACAAAATAATACATTTGATATTGTTCAAACAAACAAATATAGTAAAGTTAGAACAAGATATTGACCGTTCTTTATC